TGGAGAAATGAGAAGTTATTTATTTGGTTCAATAAAAATAATTCTTAAATGATAATATGTATCATGATTAGGAGTATAATATTTTTAAAGACTTGCTTTAAATTAATTGCCATTCTCTGTAACCACTTAAACTTCGTTGCCACGCATGGTAACCGATTTTGATTAAAACTTCACCCATGCTTAGTACTTGACACCAGAAACAAATATCAAACAAAATTTCGTTGCTATGTGTCTGGGTTGCTATGGCAACAGCCGGAAAAGTTTGAAAAATCGAGATTTTAAGCCACTTTAAATCTTGACTGTGGCTTAATAAAAACTAGAAAAAGCAAACAAACCATTCTAACAAAAACATGACACCTTGATGTCACTTATACTGTAAAGAAACTATTTAGAATATATCTCTAAGTAAGTGGTAACCAAGGGTACATTTGGAATACATTTAAAATGCTGAAATATGCTGAAAAAAACTCCATATTCACTAATGGTAGGTGTTACATGCTAAAACTCAATCAATGACTTAAGAAAAACAATGAAAATGTTTGACCTTAAGTATATAAGTATAAGCAATATTATTCTATAAATAACTTTTATGGTTCCCATGGTAACACAGTGTAACTATGCAAAACCAGTAACTAAGTTTGGGTTAATGCTACTGTCTTGAGGAAAAACATGAAAATTCAAAACTGGCAAATATGCATCCGTAGGACCTTGCAACACCAAAACCATAAGAAAAATTGGGTATAATTGCTACTTTGCAGTGTAACCAAGGAAACAAAATACCAGTGCTTAAAAGTGAATTATTTTTCGCTGCATTAAGAATTAAATTGCCATATAATCAAGAAACAAATTAAAGGACTCAGCTTGAATAGTACTTATCTGTTAGAACTGTAGTTGGATATCCTATATTGATAAAAGTTGATGAAGAAAACAACACTGTTGCTATGGTAACCAAGAAGGAAAATGTTCGATTATTTGAACTTTATATCAATATTAAACCCTGCGTGCCAACTTCTTGCATCCACTTAAAGATTGGATGATAGTCAAAATTAAAAGTCAGGTTAGCTGTTAATAAATATCAATCATAAAAGTTTTGGGAATCTACATTTAGGGGAACGTATCCAAGGAAAGAAAATATTTTTCAGGTTTTTAAGCATATATTTTCTGCTTATCTCCATAGCAACGCTCTATTTAAAGAATCTAATCTGAATTTTTTCAAATGGGAAAACTAGGAGCACACTAACATCTTTAGAAATTGATCATCAGTTATGAGGAAATGTGCTTTTTTAAAAGATAGGATCAGATTTAAACAAACAGAGTGTTACTTTGAAGGTTCTCTGTGGTATAAAAACCTTGGCAATCATTGCCAACCAAAATGAAATATCATATTTTGTTCTTGGTATATGTTTCAAGGCTCTTTTTTCTATTATTTGGTTACATTTCATCCTATAATTGCTTTTTATTTTTATGTGTATGACTTTATAAAATTCAATGAATATTTTTTTAACTTTTGAATATTTTGTTACCATAGTAACGTATGTAATAGTCGATTTACCAAACATGTTTATCATGCAAATGAGACATCTGACCTTCAACTTTTGGAAACAGTCATTGCCAACTGTTTGCTTTGCCGCAAATGTTAACTACGGGGCTCTAAACATGTTAAAAAATGCCATTTTTCGAACTTTAAGACATGTTGCCATGGTAACTATGAAACATAGCAACCAATTTTTGCCTGATTTCAGTTTAGGGTATCAATGACTTTTATCATAGAGAGTTTGGAGAAATTCTGAGACTATGCGTGCCACAGCTCCTATATAAAATTTCAAATCATTACAGAGAATGGCTCTTAAGTATTATTTGTTGTAAATATGTGTTAATTTCATTATCATTTCTCAATAGATAATTGATAATTTATAATTCTGTGAAAAGAGTTTACAATGGGTACTCCCCAGCACGGGAGTGTGTAAAATTTGAAAGCAAATCGTGATGATTTTCCGGATAATAATGGCGTCGCAGAAAAGGATGGTGAATTAAAATAGAAAAGTTGTTCAAACAGTGGAGAAAACTTTGGAATATGCTAAAACTGCGAATGACACAAAGGTACATTTTCCTCAGTACATTTTGCATCGCGGATTACAGCATAGCCTGGTATCAACACTTGGTTCATCTTGAGGGACCTTCATCTTCATTTTGATGACAATAAATTCTTATCATTAACTTTAATACATAGATGTATCCATTTGACAAGTATATGCACTAAAACACTCTATTTGATATATTTTCTAAAATTATTTATTCATTTATTTTGCTTTGAAGACAGTCTGAAATAAAAAAGATTACTATTTCACTTTTGTGCTTTTCTTGCACGGATGCTTGAATAATTGTGAAAGTACTTTTTGAAATGCTAAATTTTGTTGGCGGCCGATTTGATGCTTTGCATCAATTTAACTTGTTCTTGTTAATTGTATTGTATTGCCGGTTTAAACGAGGATTGAAAATACTGACAAAGTTGTTAATTTCAAATCAGAATGTACTGTTTTCCTTTTCTAATTTCCAAGACCAAAAAATACCTGTTTAACATTCTTTCCTACATCTATTTTTTTTCAGTAGAAGAAAGGCAAAATAATTGTTTCTTGTAACAAGAGGTCAAAATGGCGCGAAACTAGGAATGATGACCTAACGTCATAATCAGTTTTACTTGTGACGTAAATGAGCTAACGGTAGGCCCAAAATAGGCCCGCGGCACTTAACGTAGTATTTGAAAATAGGCCCAAAATAGGCCCGCGGCACAAAGAATGTTAATGTCTTGTTCGTTATATAAATTGTCAACCTTTACGTTTAGGTCTTCCCCTGGTGGCAAGGTTACTGGTTGGTGTGGTTCTGACCTATTCAAGACATTATTGAAGTATTCATTCCTCCGTTCCATTTGTTCATTTAGTTTGGTGAGGACTTAACCATCTTTGTCTTTGACCAGTTTAGACTTGCATGTTTTACGTCTACTTAATGTTTTGGTGATGTCCGAGAGAGTCTTTTTATCTCCCATGTAGGCAGATCTTCCTACTTCTGTTGTATGTTGGTTAACATACTCTCTTTTGTCATTCCTGCATGATTTTTTTTTTAATTTTCTTTTAAATTTCCTTATCTAGCGTTTGATGCTTGGCATGTGCATCACTCTTTTTGCTCATGTTTTAGCGTTGTTAACTTTTTCTTTAATTTTACGCCTTTCTTCAACCTTCTGCCATGTGATATCAGACATCCATTCTTTCTTCTTGTTGGTTTTCCTTCCTAGGCCTTCTTCACATGCATTATTGACGATATCCCTTCCAGCAGTCCATTCACCCTCAATATCTAATTCTTGATCCCCACTGTATAATGGTGCACCAAATCTATTCCTTAGTTCTAATTGGAATGTGTCCTTATCAATCAAGTTTTTCAGTTTGTCTACATTGTACTTTATTCTCTTTGTCTCAATTTTTGCATTCTTTGCCAGTTTAATTTTTACTTTGGCTAGTATCATGTGGTGGTCGGAGTTAACGTCTGCTCCTCTCATAGCTCTTACATCCTGGAACGAACTTCTCCATCTTCAACTTATCATAATTGGTCGATTTGGTTCTTCGTTTTGCCGTCGGGTTATTCTCAGGTTGTTTTGTAGATGTTTTTGTGAAAGAAAAGACCTCCTCCTATCACTAGTTTGTTTGTTTAGCAAAATTCAATTAGTCTATCTCCATTTTCATTCATCTCTCCAATTCTATGCTTTCTCATTACTTTTTCTCTGCTTTTGTTACTCTGGCCGATCTTAGCATTCATGTCACCAATCACTATTCTAATATCTCTCTATGAGTCATTGTTCCAAGTTTGCTGTAGGTTTTCATAGAAGTTATCAATAACCTCTTCCTCTGCATCATTGGTGCATAACACAGAATGATGGTAAGGTTTTGGCGTTTAGCTTTAAGTCGCACCCACATTATTCTTTCATTGACAGATTCCCATTTCATGAGACTTTTTTATTTGTTTTCTTGGATAGCATTATCGCCACTCCATTTGTGTGATCTTTTTCGACTCATTGCCAGAATAAAGATATGCCTAGAACGTCAATGCTGTAGTTTCTCATTTCCTTAGCTATTTGTGTACATCGTACATGATACGTACATTCCAGTGGACAATATTTGTGACTGATTTGGGTAAAAACAGGGGTATCAGTTACAGATAAACAACATTCTTTGTTTTGCACGGCGGTCTTCAGTTGCATTTAATTTCAATGAAACATAATCTTTATTACATATTGCCATTATGCACCTCCCATTTTACTCTTTGGGCTCACACATATTTTTGGTTTCCCATAATAAAACATGGACACTCCCATTATATTCATCTGGGGGGCGGGAGTATCATTTTAAAGTGAGCTCATTGCTTACAGTACCTCTAGTTTTTACTGTGTCAAGCGTATTGTTCAGAATGGGTTATTGTTAAAAAAATTGGTAATCAAGAAAGAAAATCAAACTTCTTTCAGTTTCCAAATGTTTTCTTCAATATGTATTATGCAATATAAATAGTGTTGGGGTGGGGGGCTGCAAAAAAATATGTAAAGAAAGAAGAAATAAACATTCTCTGAAGTAGAGCACACAGCTCTATTCAATACCGCTAGCGCTATTATTCTACATCCCTGTCATAACCGTCTAAAACGAGCCACATATACTTAGAGGTTACTGTGTGTTATTTATGAAACTGTTAAAATTAACCGAAATGGAATCGTGTACTGTCGAAAATAAATGTATAAACTTCAAGTCACTCTTCCTGTTGCACCTTTCTGGCTCTGACCCAATAAGATCACACGGCTGGTATACAGTTTAAACTTAAATATTTAATCCCGTATTAATAAACGTATATTGCGAACACTTTCCTTATTAAAGCATGACACATTAAACAAAAGCTTTTCAATTTGGCATCGCGAGTTAGAGCTGAATTAGTGTGATCTCAAACATGGTGGCTCATCGGACAACATGAAACCTCCCCTGGCTATTCTGACGCTCCATCTTCTGGTTTCTCTGGTAGACGTCTGCTCTGGAACACTGCGAGGTCTGTTTGTCTGTCAGTCTCAAGTCGTCAAGAAATATGTATTTTTTGTCAAACTATTGAATGCTACTTTTGTTGTATGTTACATCAACTGATGCCATCACAAAACTATGGTTTCTTCTCAGATAGACTTTTTTGCAATATAGTTTTGTTTAGTCTACGAATGGTAGTGTCTTTCACTCATTAACAAATTGCAATTGCCGATTTAATGAGTACAGGGAAAGACAGTAGTTACAAATAAAAACCCACTACGAAATGTCACTGACGGCTTATTATTTTTTTTTTTAAATATGAATTGTTTAAATGAGCATTTTTGTATTCTTCGACCCTATTCTTTTACATCTATTACTTTTCTACAGATGTTGTTTTTGTTCTGGACAAATCAGGAAGTGTCCAGCAGGACGATTTCGATGAAGCGGTAGACTTTGTTTACAATGTGACAAAATGGCTGACTATTGGACCGTCCAACATTCAGGTGTCTGCAGTCACGTTCTCCACATACGTCCAGACAAAGTTTGACTTGAACTCCTACTCTACCAACACAAGTTTACTGGACGCCATTTCCAACTTAAAGTCCGAATCCACAGGAGGGGGGACCTACACGTTTAGCGCCCTCGACCATGTTAGAACGAATGTCCTTACATCTTCAGGAGGTGCCCGGGCGGGGGTTCCTAAAGCTGTGGTGGTGCTGACAGACGGTCTGTCCGCCAATAGTATCTTGACGAAGGAAAGGGCAGCGGAACTTCACGCCGATAATGTAGAGGTGTACGCTATAGGGATTGGTAATGCCGCGGCATCTACCAACACGGAGTTATCAGACATTGCTAGCGACCCAGACTCCGAGTATCTACAAACTGTGGATATGTTCCAGTACCTTTGTGCTCTTGTTCCAGAACTTGTCCCTAAGTTAGGTGAAAATATTATTCTGTGTGTTAATTTGGCATGCCATTCTTTCGGTTTTGCGTATTTTGCATTATTTTCACGTTTTTAATTGCAGATAACGAGACCCTGAATTCAGATTTTTTCCGTTGTCCCACCCCTGCTCCCACCACTCCCAGAACTTTAACGTTCCTAAATAAAACCAGTGGCAGTGAAGATTCTACATCAACAGATGGCGGCTGTAAGAAGATCATCTCTATAATAACGATTCTAAATGATTCCAAATATCTCAAAATATCTGAAACTTATTGATAAGATAAGCATTGCCAAGTCTTTGCTTAGTTAGCCAATACTCCTTTACTGTTTGATTATGTCATTTTTAGCATCCACCGCGGGAGCAGTCGGTGGCGCGGTAGGCGCCGTGGCCGGAGTGGGAATAGCGGCGGCGGCTGCGTATGGAGCCGTGCAGTACGCGAACTTACTGTAAGTACTTGTCCATCTGATCTGTGATTTTTTCCCAATAATGTTAAAATTATGGTTCGACAGACTACATCTAAACATCTACCATTAAGAAATGGATGTACATTTTATACTAATACTTTGAAGGAGGAATAAGGCCCTTTCTGTGGAGTCCATAGTATCACAATATAAAGAGGCACCCCTTGGTCAGAGTAACACCAAATTCCGTCCTGTCGAATTTCAGAACAATGAAATCTTCAATATTAACAGTGTAGATGCTATAATACCCTCCGCACCACCCATCACAACCGTATAGTTCACTTAGTACGTGAGCATTCTTTATAATACTTGTTTTATCTGTTGGAGAGACCCCACATATCTCACATGCTTCACTGTCGGCAGTTCTAGGAAGTCTTGATTTATTGATGGCTATAGAAAATGATTTTTCGCCATTTCTTTCCTACCCTAAACGATGGCTACGTAACTGATCTATTTTTAAAATTTATTTACCTTTTTGCAGAAAAGCCCAGGCACCTAACCCGTTTGTGGAGTCCATTGTGGCCCAGTACAAGGATGCGCCATTGGGACAGGGTAAAGCCAAGTGTAAATACAAGTTCGAATTCTCTGGAATCCCGGCAGGACCAATCGAATCGTCCATGCCACCCGCCATAACAGCGTGGGCTTAATATGGAGGATTATCGCTTGGTTAAAAAACTATTAGATATGTTTATACGTCGTTTATTGTATCATTTGTTATATTTTATGCCAGAGTTGTTAATTATTGTTAATTTTAGAAACATAGTTCTATTTTTATGCCGCTGTAATTGAAGATTTGGGGGCATATACTAGTAGTCCTTTTGATATGTCTGTCTGTTTGTTTGTGTGTCTATTTACCCATATTTACCTTGTCCATAACTTTTGATTGATTAGAGTTATAGCTTTCTTAATTCACAAGCGTATTCCTTATGACAAGACTTTCCTTTTGGAACCATTATATTTGATTTCTTGACCTTAGAGTTTGACCCACTTTTGGAAAATTTTACCAAACTTTAACCTTGGCTACAGTGTATTCTTATGCCAAGACCCTCCTTGGTACCAATAATTTTGACCTTAACCTTTGTCGTCTGACTTGCATTTGAGACTCTTTAACCTTCGTGATAAGCTGCCATACGGGGGCATCAGTGTTTCACAAACACATCTTGTTACTGAAAGTTTTTTAGATGACATGTCATAAAATACTTTGTATTTGTTTCAAATTAATTTATTTCATGCATGCCTTCTTTACATTTCTTACCATTCTGTTCAAGAGAAACTTGACTATACAAAGACACCAGAAATCATATTGAGAAATTAAAGTTTAGTTTTTCGTAAGATACTTTTATCAAAACATATCTGTCCTTTATTTGTTTTCGTGCGTTTGTTCTTTTGGGATGTTCGCTACTAGCCGCGACTCTAAAAAGTAACTTCGGCTTGAGAGTCAGGTGACTCACATCCCTAATTTTACTGACTCTATTATATTAAACATTTATAAATACGAACCTTGCAGGTCTCCTTATTTAAGATTTTCATAGGTTGTGTTTGTGATTTTTCGACCACTGAATATGGATATCCTATTTTAAGGTTTGTCATTCGACGGCTGTGCAAAAAGATTGGTCAGAACCTTTTTTTTTTAATCAAAATTATCTTTTAAATTCGTAAATTCTATAGAAGTTAAATGTACTCGTATAGTTAGACACAACCCCACTAAAGCACACTTTCTTTGTTTGAGAACAAGAATTCTAATGATCTAACTATTAAAAGCTATTATAAGAGTAAGAGAGAAAGTAAATCAAAATCATAAAAAAGGTTTTTAATAGGATTTAACGAAAAAAATATAACAGACGATCCTAGTTTTAGTTTCTGTAACTTAATTAATTTTTATTGTTGTTGTTTTTGGGCTTGATTTGTTTATCAATCAATATAACATGGACAACTCTTCTAAAATGCACAAAAAGGTGTATAATTTTTTTTCTTCCCTACAGGTAATGAACTTTGAAGATTAAAATAAAACAAAATTTAATCCATTCAAATAAATCATTTCATGAATTAAAACTTCCTGGTTTGAAGGGGGTACCCGGGTATCTTCACGGTATGTTGGACTTCTTCGATGAGGAAATCTTTAAAATATCGTTTAATATTAAATTTTCATGTATTGAACTTAAATTTTAGGATTTTTTTTGTACCACGAAACGTATATCCTGTGTAAATGAATGATATAAAAAGGTTTTTATCAAACAATAGACCTTAAGAAAACTAAACCAGCATTAGCGTTCTCCATCGTCTTTACCTTTAAAATTGAAGAATGAACCAAATGGTCTTCCGTAACATTTGTGTAAAAATAACCGTTTCGAGATTTTTTTTTAAAAATCAAGAACATCAATAACATCTCACAAAATTCTGTTTTCTTTATAATGTTTTCTACAATATAAGTTTATTTAATTAATAAGAAACAATAAACTCCTTTATTCACTAAATCGAAAGTGCACTGGTATCTACCATAAACAAAGAACATCTAGGCAGAAAATGGAAACAGCGGTAAAAACGTTTATTAGATCTATTCAAGCCTATTGTAAACCTCTATCATCGCCTGAATACAAAGATCTCGAACGGAATTTGAAAAGAGCAGCAGAGAAGGTAGGTTGATATTTTACCATTCCGATTCATTACTGCTAAAAGCTTAAAATTTTGCAATTCTCTATTTTATTTTCAGTTTGATAAAAAAGAAGAATTGTCGAAATCTGAAATAATCAATGCATTAACATCTTACGAGGATTACCTAAAGAAGAATTTCAAAGATAAAGGATTTCAGAGCGCCACGGCAACTGTTCCTTACAAAACATCTCGTAAAAAGATCATAGAAGCATCATCGCCTAGGTAGGATGCAGAATTATTGAATTGAATTATTTGAATAAAACATCATATCTGAAAAAAGATAGATTTTGGTTTAATATTAGTAAAGTATATACAACAGAGATGATACCAGTGAGAGCCTGTCTTAGAATTTATTCCTATGAAGCACCATTTTAGTACATGTATATTTTAGTACTAATATTTAAAAAGTAATATCATCAGAAAAATATTTCGTCTCTAATATTGATCACTGAATAGGAAACTGGTAAAAAACAAAATCTCTTAATTTATATATAAGTCTAATATGGTTCTTTATCGGATAGGGATGGTTGTCACTTTTTCCAAAAAGTAAAAACTTTTAGTTTAACGATTGAGACGGAGGTAAAGCGCCTCACAATTGTCATGCTACGGAAGCCCATTTGGGACCTTTCAAAAATATTTTTAAATTCGATAAAACAATTAGTTGATTTGATAGCCCAACGAGCCTGTTCTACGTATAAATAGTTTTTAAATCGAGGCAAGTAACAAAAATAAATAAGTTACCCAGATACGCTATTAGAAGGCAATCATTCAATTCAACAAAAATATGGCGTCAGCAATGCACATTATTTGTAATCTTATTAAGGTTAGGAATCCTTTTTTTCCTTACTCAGGAATGTTGTCCTATTCTGGACTTTCTTGGTACATATTCCTAAAACAACGTGAACTGAAAGCGAGAAAATTTTGAAACAGTTATGTATGTTTATTTTAAAAATTTACGTTGCTGTCTCTCCTCCTTGATATATTTCCCTTACATTTTATCGAACTCTTTCCTATTTTATTCATATGTCATTTTTTGTGATATAGAAATTATGTACCTCTCACCACTTTGTATATATTATGTATATATGTTATTTGAACCGCATGTACCAATCTTAATTTGGGTTAATAAAATGAACTTGAGCTTGAACCTTTACCAAATTCCTCGATTTAGACACCAATCGGCTCCGATCCGCCCGATCTAAAACTTTTTTTTCAGATCGTGGCTTAATCGGAATGGTTGTCGTTTAGTCGCAGCTCTGTGTGAACGGGGGAGGTAGGGGGGATAAGTGCATGTGGCGAGAGCTTTAAGAGCTCTCCGATCATGAAGACCCTACAGCGATCTCACTGCGCTTATGAAGACTCCACTACGTTTCTCCTGGCATTTGTCACGACTGGCCACGTTTTCGGTCATGCACGCTTTGATCGTAGTAGAAACGGCGCCTATGTGTGAACGGGGTCTTAGATCGGGTGTTCGTTTTTCAGTGTATCTTTTGATCTGTCGCGTCGTTACCGTTCATAATCGTTGTTCTGAGGAAATATGGCACCACAGCTTGCTCTTTTTGAAATTTCACTTTAAAAATATATCAATCTCCATACAAAGTTCCTTCTCTAATTAGCAACTGGTCGATCTGATCCCATTTTGCTCACGCTACATATTAATATTTTGTCCCAGTCCAGCTTTTTGTTACCTTCGATCCACTTCTTCACTTCTGCTATTTCCGAACCATCTGCTTGCTCTTGCTTTATATCATGCTCTGACATTCCCAGTGGTATGGCTGCAACGGCTTAATATTGCATTTGTTCGCCGACATAGCCTCGTGATCTTGAAAGTGCGTCATCATATATATTTCCATGCAGCCTACCAGCTCGATGACATATCTCAAAGTCATATTCTGATACATATGTAATGTATCAAGTTTGTTTTTTCAACACTTTGTTCTGTTATGATATGCCCAAAGTACATTACTATGTGTTTGAACAGACTGCACTTTTTTGTCTAAGTCCTGCTGCATAAAGTTTAAAAGTTTTATATACCAGGCCAAGTCTCTCAAAATGTTCAACTGAATACTATTACTAGTATATCAGCTAGGTAATAAGATATCCCATCTCAGGCCAGCGCAGATGGTCTCCATGAGTAATTCAAAAGTTCCTGTCTTATTACATAAACCAAAAAAAGCATAACGATAAAAGTCTGCAATGTGACGTGAAAGCGGTCTTCTGTTTGTCATGCTCATCGACTTTTATCTGACAATACCCACTTATCATATCCCGTGTAGAGAATCACTTCGCCCCTTTAAGAGCATCTAGAGATTCATCAAACCTCGGTAAAGGACACACATCCTTGACCGTAACATTGTTCAGCCTCCTAAAGTCACTACAGAATCTTGGAATTCCGTCCCTCTTAAGCACAAATTACGGTTGGACTTGCCTAAGGACTTGAAGACGGTCTGATGATATTGTTTGTAAGTGTTATCAATTTGGTTGTCAACTTTTTTAAATAAAATGGAATGCGTTTTGGCTGCTGAGGAATTGGCTTTTCATTTTCCGTATTGATTTTGTGTGTGATCAAGGTTGTGTGTCCTTGATCAGATACCTTTTCGCCTAAAAGCTTAGCATGCCTTTACAAGGAATATTAGGCTTGTTTCTTTTGGCTTGGGCTAAGATTCTCTGCATCATCTAGCAAGGTTTGAATGTGACCAAGTAGACTTGTACCCTATGTGGGCTCTTCACTATTTGATGGTAATGTAGTTCTTATTGGCACAATTATCCCTGCAACTGTCCCTTTACATACAACTAATGGATCATCATGCAGATGAGGGACCCTCAAAGGAACAGCGCTGCCAGCTTCTGTGGATAAAAGTGATCTGACTAAATGTCTGGGATGGTTCCACAATCCCAAACAAGGGTAATGGTCTCTTGTCTCAATTTATCACATTCCTCATAACTATGCACTCGCTCCTGGCGGCATTACTGAAGTTTCATTTAGGGAAACTCTGCAACATTGCATCTTTTGTTCTAAATGTACATTGATCACTTTATATTCGAACTTCAGGGCCATTGACGTAAGGTCCAGCACTTATTTATGTCAATCATGAAGCCCGGTCTTAAACCAGATCCTCCAGTTGCTGTCACGATTGCTTCGTGCTTTATAATCTTCTCTCCCTTTCTAAATTCGTAAATTGCCGATTCTTTCGCTTCCAATGTCTTTTCATCTGCTAAAGTGAGCGCGTGACATTCTGCTTGCAATGATGGCTGACTTCCCAAGGGAATAGCACCCTATGTTTCATAAGATACTAGTGAAGTGGAAGCGCCAGAGTCCACTATGAATTTATCGTCTATTCTATTCACATTGGTCGGGATATAGAGTCCAAAGTCTGTTGATGTCAAGCAACCGCTCCTTATCTGACTGGTTGGTACTGATGACTGGTCAGACTTCATCTGTGTTGACTCTTGCTCATGATAGGTTTTTCTGTGTCTTTCGTCTGTGGACACCCACAGCTTATACTTTAAAAAAAGATGTCATTTCTTAATGTTCGTTTGCTACACCTACTACGTTGTATATGACCCCACATTGCATCTGCTGTTGCACAAACTGCTTCAATTGCTTGAATTCCGACTTGAGTACTGTGTCTTTGTCATCGTTTGCTTACTAAACTTAGATGCTTCTTTGTCTACTTCTCTTACCATCTTGCTCCATCTGGTTCTATTTTTTTTCTGATCTCATACATACATGCATCAAGTACTACATTTATCTGTTATGTAATATGTTTCATAAATGGTTAAAGACCGTGAGAGCAAAATTTTCAATTCCTTTTTGTACGACGCTTCGCAAGGTTCCCCAATTCTGTTTTTTTTTTGTCTTCGCCTCCTGACATCATTTTTGTATAAAGGCTAATAGTTTCCAACCAACTTCTGCAACCAATTTGTCGCGGGGTTCGTTTGATTCCTTCATTCTTGGGAATAAAAGATCTTGTAGTTTATATATAGTTTATTAGAAGTCTATCATTCAAAAAATCATGCACATATTTGTAATCTTATTCAGGTTAGGAATCTCCTTATTTGGGAAAGTTGCTTTATTCAGGACTTTTTCTGGCACCTACTGTGGTTTCATCAATATTCGTTGAGCACCAGGAACTACATGTATGTTATTTTTCAGAACCACGCTGACAAATTAACAAAAATCATGGTTTATATACATATCTTGACGTCAAAAATATACACTGTAGTGCACACAGTATTGTTTTAAAAACGACAGTTGAACGGCGTAAATTTAAGGCAAATCATCAGCAAATTAATGTAAATATAAGAAATGAATTTTATTTTTTGAAGATTCATGAGGTATATGAACTACAATGCTTCACACCGGCATATTAACGCGCTTCATGAAATATGCCGGCGTGAAGCGTCGTAGTTCATAACCTCATTAATATGAACTTTTCTCATGAATATGAACTTTTCTTAAATAATTAGAACTAATTATGATCACGTGATTAAAGCGACATCTGTACATTTCAACAAAGAATGATGATCATAACATAAACATTAAAGTTATTAAAAGTCACTGTTTATAAAGTTCATAACAATAGTCTATTGTTCTGTCGAATGTTGATACTTTTTATTGTTTATCCGTAGGTTTTTATATTATATGGAATTTTCCGTTTACCAACATACGGTGGGGTGTCAGTTCGACTGGGGTTGTTACCTCTCTATGCATGGCATTTGATTCCAGTTTTGATGTTTAAAGGTTAATGATTTCTAAGGTGTATATGGTTTTGATGGATTCTTGATCTTGATGGTTATCTTCGCCTATACTCGATAACTTCACGGAGGGTCCATGGCGAGTTGGACTGATGGACATAGCATGTTTACTCATCCAAGATCTTCTCTTTTTGTAAGGTCCATGTTTCTGCCTACTCTCCTTTCGTATTGTTTAGGGGATTTTGAGATAGATCACATTTTTTACTTTTTCATTAAATGAGTTCATTCTACTGAAAGTTCTTTTATGTGGATTTTTTTTTCAGAAATTATTGCTTTAGCCGTAAATAAAAATATTTCTCCCTTAGCTTATTTTTCAACTCAGCTGCTTTGAACTATCGCTTATCATGATCATTCAAGGCATTGACAATATATTTGTCATTGTGCAATGCAAAATGAACTAGTGCTAATTGTAACGGGGACCGTTACAGATGTTCCCCAAACGCTCCCCATGTCCCTTATCGTGCCTTATTCCTCTAAGACCTTTTAATAAATATGCTAAGTATCCCAAGATTTCATTTAAGAATATAAAAGTTACAATGATATCAACTATCAACGATATGTTGTTTAACGTTTTGCATGCGCGCACAGGTACATGTACATGCATATGCAAGATGATTATGGCATGTTGATTAAGCGGTTAACATATCTTTCTATCCCACGAATCAAAGAAAAAAATACATATATAAATTTACCATTTTTCAAGCATATGTCATATTTTTAATATATCGATTCACATTTTATTTCTCTACTTATTTTAACCTCGGGCTCAAAGTTGGTTTTATTCCGACGACAAGGCAGGGTTAAAGTCGACTAAGGGTATCACGCCAATACCTAACCAATCAAAATGAACTTATTCAATAGTAGTTCCATACATGGAAAAGGGATTTTCCTTTCTGTTCAGAATTTTTTTTAATATTTCCTCTCAGGCCATTTTGACAACTCTGATACCTGTGCCTGGTAAATTTTATATACTTTGTAAATAAATATATAAAGGTTTTTTGACCGGAACTATTCATTTTTTCCAATGCATAGGGGGCTACTCTCTGGGTTTTACAAGAGATGTTTAAAAAGACATTCGTGTCAGCTAATGTGCCCTATATTGTTTAACACCTTCTTATTAATATTTTTTTCATGAATGCAAATATCTGATTATTCTACGAAGGAGCGTACATGTATATTGATTTTTAATATACCGAAAATCGCTATTTCTGGGGATTGCGTAATTCTAAAAAAAAAAAAATAAATAAATTCCAAAGGTAAATTAAACAAAGGATGCTTGGTATTAAAATATTATTTCAAATCAGTAGAATCGAATGCTATTAACGACATCTGAATAAATAGGCTATAAAAGGCTTATATGCCAACTTTGGTCATCTGCACTTTAATTTTAAACACGACAGGATTTGTAATTTTTTCTGTATAAATTAATAATTTCTATATACTTTGGAAACTCAAATGAAATATTTTAATACACTTTCCTCGAGCTCTTTTCTGCAGTTTTCCTGAAATTTTATGTGGGTCCGATGTGTTATTTGAGTTTAACAGTGATTCTCTACGTTGCCATTAATTTGATTTATTTATGTGTGGGGTGGGGGTGGGGGGGGGTGGTGGGGAGGGGTGGGGGTGGGGAGGGGGGTTATTTTTATTCTTAACCTATTTAACGTTGGAGTTGAATCTTGTATCTTATTCCAAGAACTTAAGATTGATTGTGACATTTGGATGAAAGGTCAAGGTCATTAAAAACCACCACCTCTTTAACTTCTAACCTGTCAACCGAAATAAACTCTGAAAGGTGTTTCTAGATACATGTACATGTACTTCATGTTTCTTTTTACCCTTGGGTCAAGGACAAAGGTTCAGGTCGATTTCAAGTTCATAGGTCAAGGTGATTTTGGTAAATAGTTAATATCAACATTTTATTTAGGTTACCAGTGACCTTGACCTAAGTTTCAAGGTCAAGGGTAAAAAGATCTGCATGCTTCAGTATGTTACATGTCTTGACATTTAGAAGTTCTTAATTCTGCATGAACATCAAACACTCAAGTATACAGTCTTTTAATACATTGTGTGCGGTCGCATGTGCATGCACGTCCATGTATTTACTTTTGATAGTAGTATAATGTAGGCAATCATTATATCTATTCATATTTGAAATTTCACCCTGTATTATTGAGAACAAAGAAAGTTGTAGGCATTTAAAGTTTTAGCCAATCAGATTGCAGCACACGTGCATGTGCGTGCGTTCATGATTATTCTTATATATCATGCTGTAGATCTTCATATTGTAAGACTATGTTCAAAATTTCAAAGGATTTTGTTAGAAAACAAAATAGATATTTAGACTTTAAGTTTCAGCCAATCGCAGCGAAGGGCACCTGCTGCGCGTGAGATCATGCTATTTTGACCACGTCATCATGTCTATACTACTATTATATCCTTATATTATGAGTTTCAAAGCATTTCATCCAATATTTAAAAAGTTACGGCTAAATCTATTATATTGGTCATTTCACGTGTTACACGTGCGCGCACCTGCACGCACGTGCGCGCAAAATGACCTTCGTTCCGCACATCTACATAACATACCTAGTGACCCTAAAAAGGTTTCACCTAGATCGGATGAGTAGTTTACGAGAACACTCGCGGACAAAAAAGTACCGGAGACCAAAGAAAAAATTCAGAAAATGTAAAAACAATATGTTCCCAAACTTCGTTTGGGGAACATAATAAAGCAACCGAACCTATTTTCATTGTCACGTCCGAGGCGTTTTTTTTTCAGTGGAGTTATAGTTTTATGGAATCTTCAGGAAATATTCTTTATATATATATATATATATATATATATATATATATATATATATATATATATATATATATATATATATATATATATATAGGTGATATCAAATATCTATACTGATAAAATCGACATAATTTATGTTATAACATCGGTTATGATGATATCACTAATGGTTGACTAGCATTTTTAATTAATAATAATCTCTCTACAGTATGAACTTTAATAGGTTTAAAATATTGATTAGAGAATAAGTCGTTTTTCTCTATAAAAGAAATCACTGGAATTCATAAAAAGGGTACTAGTAGGTTAACTGCAAACGCTTACCTGCACTTAGAGGTATGGTATAGAGTTAACACATCCGAGGAAAGTTGGATGCTACTTAAAAATATAACCTAAATATTCTTTGCGATCTCACCTTCCTGATATACTTCATATTATCAAAAAAAAAATATACAACATGACTATATCTTTAAATGCTCATGTTTATTTTACTAGATGAAATAAAGTATATCAGGTAGAACAGAACCGACGGTCAATTTCAACGTTTCACAGTTTTGTAATATCTATAAAAAATAATTCATTAATAACATTTCAAATATCTTTTATATTGCCGGAACTAAAAATGCTAATTATTAATTGTAGCCCAGAAAATGCCACGAAAGAAAGAAAGGGGAGTAGTAGCAGCAAACGTAGCAACTCTGAACAAGGAACAAATAAAGAACAAAGGTAGGGGATCCAGGAATCCTGAAAAAGTGGGAGCGGGGGGACCAGTTAGGGGTGGGGTAAAAGCCCACGGCCACACCAAATACATTGATTTAATAAATCTTTAGGAGAGTAGCGTATCAGAAAATTTTGGCTGGCGAAGATGGCTTTTTCTACAAAATGAGTTCAAAGATAAAAGTACAGTAAATAACTAAAGGAAAATTTGATTTCAGCACAGGACTATTGAGAGAGAGAGAGAGAGAGAGCGAGAGAGAGCGAGAGAGAGAGAGAGAGAGAGAGAGAGAGAATGGGCTGAGTTGATTATGCTTGAGAAGGTACATTATCATGAATGTGCAAATAATTCAACTTCTTCATGCTTAGGGAGATAACCGATAATGAAATATTGTCTCTACCTATATGGTTGAACAACCTGGTTCGATTTAATGATAAATGTCTTTTCTACACCAACTGGATAAAAAGTGGGATCTTATATATTAAGGACCTGTTTGACGAAAACGGAAACTTCCATGACATTAATTATTTTCAAAATATTCTTGTAAACAAATCCAACTTAATCAGTGAATACAATATTTTGAAAAAAGTTATTAAACCTATACAAAAACATCATGATGTTTCAAAAGGAGCTTATATAAACATAAAAAATCAAACGATGATTTTGTTAGAAAATAAACAAAGATTACCGATAAACCTGATAAGTAGCAAACTTATTTATGACATTTTTCTGAAGAAACTTTCATAAAACCTTACTCCGAAAAATTTTGGTCGAGAAGCTTTAACTTTAACTTTGAGGAAAACAAGATACACATCTATCAATCAAAAATTACGAAAATAAAAGATAAACAATTAGCAGAATTTAACTATAAGCTATTACAAAATCTACTTAATAATAACAAAAATGTTCACAAATGGAATAGAAATGTATCGAATAAATGTCCATTTTGTGAATCACTTGAAGATACAAAACACCAAATTTTTGATTGTAGAAATGTAGAAACGATTTGGGCAAATCTAGAAAACCGTCTGAATTTGAATATAAAATGGAAAAATATTGTATTGGGTTTTTTCTATAAAGAAAACAAAACAACTATTTCACTGAATTATCTATTATCTTACATAGCATTTTTTATATACAAGATAAAAATGAAGCTAAGATATGAAAACAGAGAAGAAAATATAAATGATATTTTGTATTATGTAAAGGCAAACCTAATGTATCAATATGAAATTTATAAAAAATTAGATGTAAACTTTATATATAAATGGTTTTATGATATTTCGATAACTTTGTGATAATAATAGTCTGACTATCTGAAGGGGTCTGTCCTTCAGTAGTGCTGCCAGGTGGGGGTAATTATTATGGACTCTGTGAGGTGAAAGATATACCCCATGGCAGCGAGGCTTAATTCTTATTATTTATTCATATATTTTCATATATTCTTGTAAAAACAAATACTTACATATTTTTATAAGTATCTTTACGATTCATAATCTATATGATTAATCTATATATGTCTATGTCTTTGTATTTATATAATTATACAACTGTATAATTTTATACAAAAAAAAAAAAAAACTTCTTCATGCTTGATAACATTGTCCAACCAAAAAGCAAGACAGTCTCTGTTATCAAACACACGTATACTGATATAGGCAAAGGAAGTGTAATATACCGATGGAATAAAAATATAGCATATACAAAATAGTGACGTTGTTTTAAAACCTATCTTATAGAGAATCTTCGGCAGCAAAAAGAAATGGAACCAACAGGGTAACTAGGGGAGATCAGAAAGATAGAAAAACTACCCCAACACCGTAAGTACTGTATATGACAAATTGGGATCTTCTAATAATTTTCAAAAATAATGTCATTTGTGTCTTCTTAATTGTACTCATCACTGATATTTTCAACGAGGAATTTTTTAAATTTAATATCCTTAACTTTGAGAGTTTTTTCATCTTGAACGATAAATACATAAGGGCCAAGACAAGTACGACTAGTAACAGGGAATTCCCAAGGTCTTTGTTTTCTACCATATTCGGAAATTTGTAGCGTTTGGGGATTTTCTTTAATCGATCACAGTACATTATTACAGTTTCATTATATGAAAAAGTGCATCTATGGCCTGGTTACTTTATTGTTTGATGTTGTTATGTTCCACAAAACTGGGATTAAAATTCTAGAAATAGGAATTCTTTAAACTGATTATAACAACATATTATTTTGAAAGGAAATGCAATATTAATACATGTACACAATTATCCTAGATATCATTACTTTTATGTTTTTAATGTACATTTATGTAAAAAAAAGTATTTATAATGGTCGTACATTAAATAAGAATGACATACTTTTCTTTTAGGCACAGATATAGACAAATCAGGCGCAATTTACCAAACTTTTGATAGCTTCTTTACATGTAACGGAAGAATGCAATGAAATTAGCAAAAATTCAAGAGGCGTGACAAGTATTAACATTTTAGCTTGTGTCTGATTTTTTAAATGTTCAGTCTTCCTTTCGATATAAATAAATAATACTATTGCAGATTAACTGAAGAGAAAAGGAAGGCGGTGCTTCACAAAGTAAATCATAAAGACGGCAAAGCTACACCACCACCGTAAGTATATGGCAAACCGAGATATATCTATAATTTCCCTAAAAGATGATGACAAGGATATATCATATTTTCTCAGGACAGCAAAAGTGAAGAGTCCATCTACGGATTCTACCACGATAGGCCGGTTTGTTCCCGTTTTGCACACATTTGAATTACAGGTAATTAAAAAATGTGTGAAAAACGGGAATTTGACCAGGTGAGATAATTACTTAATTGCTATAATCTATACCATACTTAGTTTAGTAAGTATGTGAATGGTGAACTTATAGTGAAAAAGTAAGAGAATAAGTACAAAGTAAATAAATTTGATTATCTGATGATCTTAACATCTTCTTGGCTTGGGCATTATTTTCAAATTACTTCTTATTCACTATTTTCCTTATTATATGTTATATCTGTAATTCATTAAGAATTTTTCAAGATTGAAAAGTACATATTCTTTCTTTAAGAAATTGGACTTAATAATAAATAATATTAAACAAATATTAATATTTTATTCAATAAAATCAAATATTTTCACATCAATACATATAATATTTTAATAAAATGCTTATAAAATTGTATTAAACCTCTTTAGAATACATTGAGCTAAATCAGGTATTCACAGGTAAATCCAGGTAAATTCAAACCAGAAATCAGACTATAATTGCTATCAAAACACACTTCACACCTATTGTTCTATACTAATAACCAAATGTGTGCAAAACGGGAACACACCGATAGGCCATAAAGATGGGAAAGCTACGCCAACGCTGTAAGTATATGGTGAACTGAAAACATTTCTATTATTTCCCATGTGATGATGACAAGGATATCCTTTTTTCAGGAAAGCGTCTGCAAAGAAAGATGCCCCAAAAGTTGAAGATAAAAATCCATCGAGGGATTCTACCTCATTAGAATCCAACGACTGGAAAGCGTACGTAAAAATGCAATGCAGATCATTTGGCCATGGAATTTAATTTGTTTTTTTTTACTCATAATAACTTGAAATCATCAAGAAACTAAAAAAATATATTATATTTAAAAGTTTTTTTTTTAATTGAAGGAAATTTGAAGAGAAGGACAAAGAGTTGAATTGCCTTAATGAGCAGGTGAAGTTACTGGCACAAGAAATGGAATTAGAAGGAGAAACAGCGGGAAAGATACTCACAGATGCAGCGAGGTTTGATTAGTATTATTTTAACATTTATGAATGTATAACTAAAGAGTAATGTAAATAATTTAAAATTCTATCGAATGTATAGTCATAACAATAAAATATTAAACAGTAAAATATTCCAGACAAATGCATGCAATAAAGAGCATGCACTGGGTTCTAGAGATTCTTGTCTGACTTCTATAATAAAAATATACTTATTACGAATTTTGTATATCTATCGGGGTTTCAACAATGTTTTTGAACACTTACATACAAAATGCATGTTATCATGAGGAATAAAGGTATACCTATACTAAGTGATGGTATAAAATCGATTGAATTTGACCGTTTTATTTTAGGGGCAAGGATGGGTCAAGGTCAATATCCTTTTGGTTTACGATTACTGTTGCCAAACATGTGCCTTTTATAAAACAAAATGAAACATTGTTCTTTTTGCATGAAATGATGTTACCATATATGGTCTATGAACTTATACCAATTTGAAGAAAAAAATATACTTTTGCATAAAGTTTTACATAGGAACATAAAGGAAAAAAACTCTTAACTTTTTCCTCAAAAACAGAAAATTCAAGATGAATACTTTTTATATGGAAGCATTTATGGATAGCTTAGATTCAAGTTTGTTTAATCATGACCCCCAGGAGTAAAGTGTGGCCACTCTGGGCATTCAAAGTTTTCAATGGGTATATTTCGGTAGGAAATCTTTTTAAGATATCTTAATGATCAATCATATGTGTACAAAACATCATCAAATTGTTTAGATTCGAGTCTTTTCAATGAATGAACTTGGGGGTAGGGGGTAGCCACTGTGGGCAATAGATTTTTAAAGTTAATGAATGATTTATTTTTAATAATCGAGAATATAAATATCACGATAACTCATATCAATTGAACTGACGACGGATTTTCCCGTTATTCCCCGATTATGAGAAGGTGGGTGTGACCGGTCGGTATGCGATGTTCTCTCCTCCGTGCCACCTTATCCCACCTCTGATGTTTTGGACGTTCGTGTTTGCTCTGCTCCTGTTTTATATTGTTTTATGGTGTTTTGAGCTTGAATACTGTTCGTTATCTCCGTATATTTCATTACATATTGCACATTTTGATGGACGGCGTTGACATGGTTACTAGCAATAGAAATTTCAATTCTCTAAAGAAAATTTCTGAAAATTCCTTCAGGATGATACTTTTTCTACAATTTTGATTCCATTTTAACTTTTTACATAAGTAAACTATGCTCAGATACTCCATTTTTCTAAATTTGACTTCGATGAATGTATTTTATATTCATATTTTTATATTGTACTTTACTCGTATTAAAAGTACAGCACTATACATAAATTTGATTTAAATAATAAAAAAACAACAACAATTTTTTGTTTATTTTCTCAGGGAATTAAAAAGTATTAAGGAGCAGAAAAACAAAGAACAAACGGAAAGGTTTGATACATAAAATAGAATGTCAAAAGGAAATGAAATAAAGAAGAATATAAATTCTACAATTTATTTGTAATGATCATAATAATCAGGTTGCATGGTTTTAGTGATTAAATGACTTTAAAATTTTTATATGTTTCTAGGATTTACCTCTATATGACTAACCACCCAATTTCTAGAATGATGTCTGAGATTGGTATTAATATTCAAAATCATTTAAAAGTATGAATATGATAAAGGTTAAAAATTAAATAGATATATGGGCAATATAATAAAAATACAATTATAATGGATGAGTTATATTCTTTCAAAGAAACGCTTAAGGTTTGCATATGTACTGTGCAGTGTGAAAGGGGATTTTGTTGAGTTAAAATATCTGAATATCTATTTATTTCTTCTGTAGTCTTAAGGAATTCCAGTCCAACCTTGAACGTGTCAAGATAGCTGTCTTTGAGGTTCCGGAAGCGAAAGAGAAAGATCATGACTTGGAAAAAACAATCACAAGAATTCAAGATTTACATAAGTAAAGAGCTTATTTTTAACTCTACTGATCAGAGACCAAAAGAGATTGTGTGATAGTAAGGTTTCCGTCAGTCTGTCTGTAAACATTTTTCTCTTCAAAACGCTTCATCTCCTATAGTTTTGGGCCGACTTCAATATAACACGGGACGAAAGAAGACTAAGCAAAGAAGCCTAATTCTGTTAATTGTGTTTGATGAATCGCACTGTGGTTACTGAAAATAATTCAATTAAAATTCTTTTAAAACGCTTTTTCCGTATACAGTTTTCTTACGAAAAATACGAGTAGACTACAAGTAGATACATTACATTACTCAATGGATGGGTTTTTGATTTTGATGAAAGGTGTTGGCCATGTTAACTAACACTCTTCTCCTCCTACAATTTTTGTGTTTGGTTTGACTTTGGTTTGATTTCACTATAATAACTTGACACACATGTATAGACTACACCAACTAAAGATATTATTCAGTGAATGGGTTTTTCATTGAGTTTTGATAATCAGTGTTGCCATCGTTACTAAAAATGAAAATTTATGTAAAATTCAAAATGCTATCCCTTATTTAGTTTTGCTTTAATTTCCGCATAAAGTGTCGTGCAAATGTACTACACTGACAAAAATAATTGTTTTTATCCATTTTTAATACATGATGTTGCCATGGTTACTAAAATCAAAATTCTGTAATTTTATTCTTTAAAGTTGCCCTTCTACAGTTTTAGTCTGATTGCAGTGAATCTTGCCATAAAAAGAGACAAGATCAAAGATTATTATCTATTTATTGCTGTTTCAAATGTTCAATTCCAAGTCCTACTTTTGTTTCTTTTCCTTTCTTATAATTGAGCTTTGGTCTTATCAGAGACCTTTCTTTTATAATTTGAAAAAAAAAATGACTTTGTCCCATTAAAGAACGTAAAAAAAAAATCATAAACTCTGCGTGAGTGGATTAGTATATGTGGATTTATATTACTCAATTATACATCTATAGCTTATTGATTTTTTTTTTCTTTGTTTTTTTTTTTTTTTTTTTTTTTTTTTTTGATTTTTAAAAAAGTTTGCATAATTCTTGATTGTGCTTTTTGGAAGAGTTCATCGATTTGTGATATATAGAAAGCAAAATCAGCAAAATCAGTTATCATAACTAAAAGCATGCAAAAAGAGAATGACAAAGGGTGTAAAGTGTACGGCTGTAAAATGAAATGATTTTTTTATAAAGAAAATTATGACAATTGTATATTTATACTTAAGAAAATAAAGTCCGCGTTTTCATGAATGTCGCAGGATAACCTCCGAGGTCAAATGTTGTTTGAAAGATGAAAGCCAAGGCGTTAGCCGAGGGATTTTCCCGTTATTTTCCATTTATTAGAAGGAGCACACGGCGGGTGTGACCGGTCGGCAGGGGATGCTCACTCCTCCATCGAACCTGGTCCCACCTCTGATGTTTAAAAGCCCGTGTTTGTTCTGCTCCTACTTTGTATTGTTTTATGGACTTTTGAGCTTGAAAACTTTTCTTTATCTTAATATGTTTTATATTAAAAATCGAATAAGGATTTTATTTTTAAAATGAAAACTCTTGCTGAATTATACCAACTAGAAACATGGAAAATTGTACTTTATATTAATATCTACCTTTGAATTATTAGAAGTATACTATAATACTAATTGAATTCGACATTTTTTGTAAATGTAATTCTGTTTATTTTCTCAGGGAGTTAAAAAGTATTAAGGAGCAGAAAAACAAAGAACAAACGGAAAGGTTTGATACATACAATAGAATGTCAAAAGAAATGAAATAAAGAAAAATATAAATTCTACGATTTATTTGTAATGAGTATTATGATCAGCTTACATGGTTTTCATGATTGAAACGACTTTCTACTTTTTAATGATTAAATATTTTATAATATGTTACTAGTATTTACCTCTTTATGGAATGATGTCTGATTTTGGTTTTAATATTCAAGATCATTTAAAAGTATTAAGGTTAAAAATCAATTAATATGGACAATATATACTATAAATACAATTTTAAAGGATGAGTTATATTTTTTTTTTAGAGAAACGCTTTAATGTTTGCATATGTACTGTGCAGTGTTAGAGGGGATTTTGTTGAGTTAACATATCTGAATATCTATTTATTTCTTCTGTAGTCTTAAGGAATTAGAGTCTAACCTTGAACGTGTCAAGAAAGCTGTCTTTGAGGTTCCGAAAGTGAAAGAAAAAGATCATGACTTGGAAAAAACAATCACAAGAATTCAAGATCTACATAAGTAAAGAGCTTATTTTTAACTCTACTGATCAGAGACCAAAAGAGATTGTGTGATAGTAAGGTTTCTGTCAGTCTGTCTGTAAACATTTTTTTTTCAAAACGCTTCTTCTCCTATAGTTTTGGCCCGACTTCAATATAATAAGGGACGCATGCAAACTATGCTAAGGTACTTTATTTTCTTTATTGGATTTTGATTTTGGACTGTACCGTGGTTACTAAAATTAGAAATTTTTGTTAAAACTCTTTTAAAACGCTGTTTCGTATGCAGTTTTGATTAGCTAAATCAAATACTGTACATTATTCAGTAGATGGGTTTTATGATTGTGATTATCATAAAAGGTGTTGGTCATCTTTACTCCTCCTACAGTTTTTTGTGTTTGATTTCGGTTTGATTTCAATAAAACTTGGCACACAAGTAGACTTCACCGACTAAAGATACATTATTCAGTCAATGGGTTTTCATTCACTTTTGATACTTTAGTAATCAGTGTTGCCAGCGTTACTTAAAATGAAAATTTATGTGAAATTCAATATGCAATTCCTTATATAGTTTTGCTTTAATTTTAATGCAACGTGTCATGCAAATGTACTACACTAAAAAAAATACGTAATTGTTTTTATCTTTTTTTATGAATGATGTTGGTTTGGTTACTAAAATCAAAATTCATGTAATTATCTCTTGAAAGGTTACTCTTTCTACAGTTGTAGTCTAGTTGCAATGAATCTTGCCACAAAAAGAGACTAGACTACGGATCATTATTCTATTTATTGCTGTTACAAAGTTTCAAGTCCAAGTGCTACTTTCCTTTCTCTTCCTTTGTTACAATTACAAACCAGAAAAGTTACAGTCTCATCAGAGACCTTTGCTTTATATTGTTAAAAATGAATTGGTTTTATGAAAGAACATACAGACACTTTGTGTGAATGATTAAGTGTATATGGAATTATATTAATAGTATAATACTTAATAATACATAGATCTGTTATAGAATTTTTTTTTTACCTTTTTGAAGAAGTATGCATAATTCTTTATTTTGCTTATTAGCAAACAGAGTACATCGATTTGTGATATATAGAAAGCAAAATCAGTTATCACGCATACAGATGAGAAT